ATGTAGCCGGCTTTGGAAACCCGGACTGGAAGAGGACCCACAAGGCAGCGAGCCACACGGCGGCGGCCGTCAAGACTCTGCTCAAGCAGGGGGCTACCTGCGTCGGGAGGACAGTCATGGACGAACTCGGCTTTGGGTTTGTACTTGCTATTTACTCTAATTGAATTGATTGCTTAATACATCTTTAGCATTTGGGTGGCCTGATCCTTACAGATCTTTGAATTTGTATAGGATTTTGCACATACGTTGATAGAAATATAGCTGTTTTAGAAAATCTGTTGTCTCAGGGTGACTTTTGTGGACAATGTTGAGGTGCTGAAACCAGGTTATTTGGTTTTTAAATAAAAACTAAGCACATATCTTTAACTTATAGTAGCAAAGGCAATCCTTTATTTTCCACTTGAGGTGTGCTTGTTTAAGTCTATTTGGAAACTTGATGTGCAGTAAATGTGTCTTGAGGAGGAAAGCACATAACTCAAATTGGGTGGGGTATTCTTTAGCTACTGATTGAAGTGTTGCAGTAGGCCTATGATTGCAGTAAAATGGTGCATATCAAGGGTGTTCGTGGTGACAATTTTAACTTCAGCCGATGCAAGACAGATTCTGTTGAGACAGTCAACTCCTCTGTCCATTTGGTTGGTGGCCAACTGATCGTAGCAAAGATAGCAAAGTTACTTTACTGTTGGGGGTCTTGTAAACATAACTCTCAAATCACTGTTTGAGTCATTGTAAATCATGTTTTGTTTTATGCTAAGTTTTGGATTCACCTTTAGTATCCCTTGGAACTCCAATATGCTAAATTACTACTTCCTCTGTTCACAAATATAAGATGTTTTAGATATTTCAATATGGACTGAAATGAGTGAATGAACACAGTAAAACATGTCTATGTACATCCGATTCAGAAAAAAATTAGAACATCTTATATTTGTGAATGGAAGGAGTAGTTTTTTCTAGCCATTCAATTCAGATGACCGCGCACGTTCATAAATCTTTAACAATATTCTTTTTTCATATTAATCATTAACAAGCCTTGGGCTTCAACTAAGACTCACTAGATATCTATCTATCAGTGTTCTGCATTAGATAGATGAAGAATTCTAACACTGCATCAATTAACATGTTTTTACAGTGTTACTGGAGAAAATTTACACTGTGGAACACCAATTAACCCAGCATCTCCATCAGTTGTCCCTGGAGGGTCATGCAGTGGCTCCGCTGTTGCAGTTTCTGCGCAGCTTGTCGAGTTCGCTCTTGGTATTTTTCTAAAGAGACTTTTACACATCTACAACTTCTGCAATCTACATGTGTGGTAACTTGGCGTCTGTTCTTATCGTACTCAATTGTGGTTATCTAGTTTTCTTCCTTGCTTTCTTTCTTTGATTGTGAATCTACTTCCACTAGAAATTGCATCTCCTTTGTATATGACTATATTCCAAAATTTAACTTTGACCAAAGGTCCAACTACTATATAAATATTTCCTACAAAATCTTATGGCTATTCTTTTCATGCCTTGTGATACTTTTATCATGCATGTTTATCTTAGTATGTGTTCAATCACTATACATTTTCTCGTTTTCTCCATGTATAAGTTCTTGATGCAAACTGTGCTTGATTATTATGGCTGTCTCTTAGAGACATTTGTTCATATTCCACATGCAAACTGACGCTGTAAGCCCTGAATCTTAGGTACTGATACAACTGGTGATTTGAGAATTCCAGCATCTTTCTGCGGTGTTCTTTGTTTCCGGCCTTCTCAGGGGGTTGTGTCTACTCTTGGGACCTTACCGAATTCACATAGTCTAGACACCATTGGTATTTTCTTACACTTATCAGTTGTTTATGTTTTCATGTTTATTACTTACTGTGACAAGCATATCTATGTGATCTATAGCAAAAGTTGCCTATATATGACACAGTACCCACCAAACAAAGAACATCTGAAGGCCTTATGATTAATGCCCCATCTTTACAAAATATCGTAGTATGACTATAGATTAGAAGACCAGTCTCCACTCAGAGCTAAGAGACCTTTTATGGAAGTCGAATGGCAGCATGCTTTGTTTTTCTCAGTTGGATATCCATGTAGATTGTTTCTTATTTCACTGGTTTTCTGATCCTTGTTAGGATGGCTTGCACGAGATCCTCATATACTTAGTCGTGTTGGAGATGCTCTGTTACCGGCTGCTGCATGTGGACTTAAGGGGAAAAGGCAGTTGGTTTTTGCTGATGATTGCTTTGAGTTGCTAAAGATTCCCAACCAGAAAACAGTGGATGTCATAGAAAATGCTGTCCGTACATTACCTTATGGATGTAAGCCATACTGATGTCTATATTTCTTAAATGCATCGGTGATTAGGTTTATATATTTTGTGCAAACAAGTGTGAGACATTCAACTCCACATCTATCTTGCAGTTCAGCCACCTAAGCACATCAATATTGGCCAGTATATCAGTTCAAATGTACCTAGCTTGAAGGAGTTCTGCGAACCTTCTACAAAGTTGCAAGAAGGAAAGTCAGCCTTGAAAGCTCTCTGCACGGTTATGCTGTTATTACAGAGGTTTGTTTCAATAATTCTTGGCACCTGGTGAAATCAAATAATGAAACCCAAATTGGTTTTTTTCCTGGAAAAATATACAAACAAATATACTGAGTCACGACCTTGAAAGCTTAAACATTTGTTATCACAATTTGTACAGTAATGCCTGCATTGCTATATTTCTGTAGCATAATCGAAGTTTGTTGAATCACTGCATACTAATATCCTCTCTATGGTCTGAATTAACGAGTAAAGAAGTCCTAAGTTTGAATTCTGTGACATGCCAAATTGCTTGGGTCTTTATGATAGAAGTGCTAGTTTACTGGTTCATCTTGTATTAAATGAGTCCAGCCATCGGTGTTAAGTTGGGGCAGGACCATTAATTCAGGTACTCAGGTAGTTAAATTGTACTCCCTCCGTCCCAAAATTCTTGTCTTAGATTTGTCTAAATACGGATGTATCAAGTCACGTTTTAGTATTAGGTACATCCGTATCTAGACAAATCTATGGCAAGAATTTTGGGACGGAGGGAGTACCTTACACATTCTAGTTAGTTGTGAGATCCTAGTAAGAATAGTGTCCACCAGTTACAGTAGTTTCTGAAGTCATGGCCGCCGGCTTGCTGATTTAGATTTACTGGTGTGGGCCCTAGCCATGTGATAATTGATTCCATGGGTTAACAACAAACCTGTTGTTGGTGCTGAGTGGTCTGTCTGCTCCATTTGCACCAGCTATCACTAGTTACTAGTGCACTATTTTCCAGCAATCAGTTAGATTACTACCTCCGTTCCTAAATACAAGTCTTTTTTAGAGATTTGAATATAGACTACATAAGATGAATATAGATGTATTTTAGAGTGTATATTCACTCATTTTGCTCCGTATGTAGTCCACATTAGAAGACTTGTATTTAGGAACGGAGGGAGTACCTTGGACTTTTGATGGATACATGCACAGTATTCAAGGGGTTGATGTAGTACAGATTATTCTTTATTTGCCAGTTGCATCTGAACATGTAGTTGAACATGAACTGATCACCTCGAAATTTATATGTCAATCAACTACTCAGATATGAATTCAAAGCAAACCACGAGGATTGGGTTAACACTGTAAAACCGAAGCTTGGCCTTGAAGTATCTACTCGTGTACTACAAGCTGTAAACTTCACAGACGATAACATCAAATCCTTGTACATTGTACGAACTGAATGGCGAGCTGCACTGAAGAATCTTCTAAAGGTATTCTGCCCCTTGACTCCTTAGTTGCAGCTTGCGATGGTTTGACTACTGTTTTGGCTATTAACTATTCGTCACAGTTGCAACTACATGTACTCAGCTATACCGATTTTATGAGGTCCGTTATAAGCAGCTACCATGTAACTTGTAGATCATACTGCAGTAATTAGTGACCATCAGAGTTATTTGTTTGGTACTTGGACAACAACAATCTGTGTTTACTAGACTAACCAAGCACTACTAGTTCCTGGTGGCATTGTTTAAAGAAGAACGACCCAGACACTAGTCACTATGGGAAATAATTTTTGACCCACAGTAGTTGAACCCTGGTGGTCAGGTTGGCTCTGGCGCACCCTGCTACCTAGTGACTCGGTTCACAACAACCTATTCTTACATGGACTGGATTATGTTAAGGAACTGATAGTGGATCTTTCTATGCATTCCATTACAATCATGCCTATGTCAGATTGGAAAAAAGGGAAACACTGGAATTTTATGTGATTTATTTTGGTTTTAGCTGTTTCTTTAAATGACAATTTATTTAATTTATAGCGTGAGGTGCGATTATCACACATTGTGACACCATAAGCGTTCATGCTAAATTTAAAAGTTTGCCATTGGCTTGAATTAAGGGTTCATGGAGTTTTTCTGCTTACTCTTTTCATGTGTTGCCATTTAGGATACTGGAATTTTAGTTCTGCCAACCATGGCTGGACACCCTTTGAAAAGGAACTCTAAACAGAGATTGTCATCCGAATTCGAAGATAAAATGTACGCATTTGTCAGCATTGCTGCACTTTCAGGCTGTTGCCAGGTAGTCTATTTAGCTGCTTTCAGGTAGTTCTTTTCTTTTTCTATGAAATTTACAACCAATTCATGAGCCACTTCACTTTTGCAGGCCACTGTTCCCTTGGGAAATCACAATGATCATCCTATATCTATTTCATTTGTAGCAGCTCATGGATCAGACAAGTTCCTTCTTCGTGCTATCTTGGATATGTATTCAGCCATCCAGAAACAGATAGTTTTGGCATCCAAGTTGGCACTTCCACCAGTAATTGATCGTGATGTTGATACATCAGAGCTGTTGAAAGAAAAGGTATATCTCGTTCGTTTGTAGCAGTGCAAATTCATTCATCATTTTACCTTGGATATGTATTTTCCCATCCAAGAACACATAATTGGGCATCCAGGTTCGCACTCATCAGTAACCGATTGTGATTTTGATGCATCATAGCTGTTTAAAAAGGTCATTTTTATGAACGATTTGTTGACATTTTGTTGCTAAGGGTTGTGTTGCCGAGGGATGTGCTCGTTTCCGACGGGGCAACCTCGGGATTTGATGCGGAAGGCTACGGCTGTCCATGGTGACGCGCGGTCGCCCGAGGGAGGAGCAACGGTGAGCTGGCGGCGGCGGAGGCGGAGGTGCGGCTCGTGGGGGCGGCGGCGAGGAAGGGGATGGGCTCGCCGGTGACCGCATCTGTGTGTGCTCGAGGGAGGGGATAGGGAGGGGGGTGCAGCGTAGGGACCCTACGGCAAACCTCCACGGTCATAGGGGGCGGCGGCAGTGCTGGGCTGATCGCTGTTGGGATCAGGCGAGGCCTGGCGGTTGGTGATGAAACTTCCCTCCCACCAACAGAAAGGGGAGCCTGCAAAAACGGGCGAAATCCCACAGATATGGAGGAATTGGGCTCGCGGATTCAGGATCCCACAAAAAAAAATTCGGGCCGGCCGGATTTGGAGGATCTGTTCGGGCCGGGGATACGGGATGGATCCCGCAAACCGGCGGTTATTATAGCAAACCGCCCGGTTTGCGGGATCTGCTAGAGATGCTCTAAGATTGTGTTAGTTTTGCCTGTTTCCTATCTGGTCCTACACACTGATTTGTACACACTGATTTTGGTACTCAGTGAGCATGGATAATTTTTTGGTCCTGTATTGGGTGTGAGTCCAAACCCTGAGTAGTATAAATATATAAGAAGATTGTGCACTGACTACCAAGCACTAACAATAATAAAAGAACAAAAAAAATCTAGCTTTCGTGTATTCAATCATGTTCATGGTTTGCACAATCCACAATTTGGTTTTATTTTTGCTTGACAGGGAAATAATTCCTTCAAAAGAAAACAATGGAGCAAAGCTATTGAATTCTATTCTGGGGCAATCAAATTGAATGACACAAATGCGACATACTATTGCAATAGAGCAGCTGCTTATCTGGAACTTGGCCGGTATGCTTTGAGTATCATTCCCTTTGAACACGATTGCCTGAAATCAGCACTTTCAAGCTCATGCATTTTGAATCGTATGTAGTTTCAAGCAAGCTGAAGCGGATTGCGACCAGGCCTTACTGTTGGATAAAAAGGTAAGTGGCTTTTTGTTAAGTCACTTCTCCATGGTTACAAAATATCACTACCATCTTGTGCTGTTATTTTTTTTTTTTGAAACGGAGGCAAAAGCTTTGCCTCATTCATTAATTAAGAAGGAAACGGACAAGAGTTTGCAACACATTGTGAAAGAAAAGAAAAATGAAAAAATATTGCATCATGGTCATTACTCTCCCGGCATCAGAAGACCCACATTTTTTGCCCGGCGGTGATCCAAAGTTTAGCCTCGCACTTTATGTTGATAAATAGGATGTTGGGTGGCTTGAACTTGTTGCGGAAAATCCTCGCGTTCCTCTCATTCCATATAGTCCAGCTAACAAGCATTGTGAGGGAGGCCATAGCTTTCCTATGCACCCTCGTTGCGCTAGACATCCTTGTCCACCAATCCTTGATCGATCGTTCCCCCATCCAAGTAGTAATATCCATGGTATCCAATTGTAGCCATACTTTCAGCATTTCCCAGAGCCTCAACGTGTATCGGCACTTGTAGAAGAGGTGAGCCACAGATTCTTGCTCCCTCTTGCATAGTGGGCAAAGTCCGCAATTGTCCCAACCTCGCTTGGCCAAACGGTCGGCGGTCCAAACACGATTTTGAATTGCTAGCCAAGCAAAGAACTTGATTTTTGGTGGAGCCCAAACCTTCCAAATGGTTTTATTCATTTCTGTGCGTGCAATGTCCAAGAATTGCGCCCTATACGCTGAGGCTGTGGTGTATTCACCATTCGTTGTGTGCTTCCATGCGATGGAATCCACCCTATCCTCCTCGAGATGAACATGCCGAAGCAAGGCCCAAAGATGGATAAATTGACGGATATGCTCGAGTGAAAAGGAGGTCGAAATTTTGACTTTGTCAATCCACGCGCCCTCGAGTAAGGCTTCGCGCACCTTCCAATTTTTCCTCGTAGAGCACTCAAAGATGAGTGGAGCCACATCTTTTGGTTTCCTACCAAATAACCAATGGGAGTCCCAAAAAGGCGCAATAGCCCCATTGCCAATAGTGATAGTGGTCGAAGCATAGAAGAGGTCCATGTCGTCCTCGTCACAGGGATTTCCTATTCCCACCCACATCCGATGGGAGTCATTCCATTCATACCAAGGCCATCGTAATCTTAGTGCACGGGAAAATTTCCCAAGATGAAGCACACCAAGGCCCCCTAGATCCTTGGGGCGGCACACTGTCTCCCAATTGACCTTGCACTTGGCTCCGGTCGTCTTGTCCGTCCTAGACCAGAGGAAAGCTCTCTCGATCTTGTTGATGCTAGCAAGCGTGCCGGGCGGGATGGTGAGGGAAGTGGCGTGAAAGATCACCTGCGAGGTGAGCACTGATTTGACAAGAACGCACCGACCCTTTGTGGTGATATTCCCACCTTCCCAAGAGACAAGGTTGCCTGCGACCTTGTCCTCAAGGTATTGGCAGTCAACCCTCTTGAGCTGCCACACGGAGAGAGGAAGGCCCAAGTACTTCACTGGGAAAGAGGCTCGGGAGGCCGGAAGCTCATGAAGGATCTCGTCCAAGTTCAAGCTCCCACATCTTATGGGGACGACAGAGCTTTTCTGGAAGTTTGTGCATAATCCCGTGGCCCGACCAAAGCAATCCAGGATGGTTGCAAGGTTCAAAACATCCTCCTTTAAAGGCTTGACAAAAACAGCCGCGTCGTCCGCATAAAGGGAGGTCCGGAAGCAAGTGCCACGCCCTCTGATCTTGTGAAGAATCCCGCAGCGAGTGGCCACATTAAGAACTTGTTGGAGAGGATCAATGGCAATGACAAAGAGGAGAGGAGATAGCGGATCTCCTTGTCGAAAGCCCTTCCCGTGTTTGATGGCATTGCCGGGTATCCCATTTAGAAGGATTCTCGAGGAAGATGTCTTAAGAAGAGCGGTGATCCACTCCCTGAACTTGCTTGGGAAGCCTCTCCTTTGAAGGAGGTCGAGGATGTATTCCCACCGCACAGAGTCGAACGCTTTGCGTATGTCAAGCTTGAAGAGGAGGGAAGGAGTCTTGCTCTTGTGAAGCCGTCGCGCGAGATTTCGCACATACATGAAGTTATCGTGGATACTTCGTCTCTTAATGAATGCGCTTTGGGCATGCGAGACAAGGTTGTTCATGAGGGGGGCGAGTCGTAGGGCAAGCACTTTAGCAATAATCTTGGCAATGGCGTGGATGAGGCTAATGGGCCTATAGTCGGTGATTCCTTCCGCCCCATCCTTTTTGGGCAGCAAGATGACATTTGCGGAGTTTAACCAATGGAGGTTTCCCACATGAAGATTTCCAAACAGATCGATGACACGCATGACATCAATTTTGATGATATGCCAACATTTTTTGAAGAATGCCCCTGTAAAACCATCCGGGCCGGGGGCTTTGTCACTAGGCATTTGTTTGATGGCATTCCACACCTCTTCTGTGGTGAAAGGGTCATCAAGGCCATGAAGATCTATTTCCTCAAATTCGAGGTTCTGCCAGTTGAAGTCCATGGTTCGAGGGCCCCCTCTTCCAATGGCCTCGGTGAAGTGGTCATGAATGATTTTCTCTTTTTGCTCGTGGTTCGTAACCCAACCGTTGTTGTGTTTGAGGCGATGAATATGGTTTTTCCTCCTTCTCGCATTCACCCTAAGGTGAAAGTATTTGGTATTAGCATCTCCCGCCTTGAGATTGCTTGAGCGGGCACATTGCTTCTTTCTTGTGCGCTCAAGAACCGCCAAGCTAATGACCCTTCTTTTTAATCTTGCTCTTAGGTCCATCTCCTCAGCAGATAAAGTCCGTGACTCTTGAGCAACATCGAGCCTAAGGATAACCAACAACGCAGCATGTAGGTGCAACTTGGGCTTGGAAAACAAACTTCTACTCCACTCTGCCAATCTCATGCCAACTCTCTTGAGCTTGTGAAAAAGGATTTGGTGGGGCTCAGAATGGCCAGTGTGCGCAGCCCAAGCATTCTCGACAACCTCGGAGAAACCCGGGATGGAACACCAAAAGTTCTCAAATTTGAAGCTCCGAGGCCTACGAGGCCCTCGATCGTCGGCGAGGAGTAAAGGGCAGTGGTCAGAGAGCGAGGAGGAGAGCGCATGTAGCACATGGGTGTCAAACTGAATGTCCCAGTCGGCATTGCAGAAGTAGGAGTCAAGCTTGCAAAGCGTGGGGTTCACCCGCTCATTGCTCCAGGTGAATCTTCTGCTTTGAAGATGTAATTCTTTTAGCTCACACGCCTGGAGGGTGGCATGGAAGCGGTTGATGCGGCTACGATTTATGTTACGCCTGTTCTTGTCGCGCGCGCGGTAGATTTGGTTGAAATCCCCCAAGGCCAGCCACATATGGACAGCCACATATGGCCAGCCGGTGGTTTCTGGGCGAGGAGCTCCGCAAAGAAATCATCTTTTCTGGAGTGCGCGGTAGGCCCATAGACCGTAGTTATCTTGAAGCGGGAGTCGGAGTTCAGGACGGAAACGTCCGCCGAAAGGCAGAACTCCGAGGTGACAACATTGGAGATGCTGACATAACTATCGTCCCAGAGCATAAGGATCCCTCCACGGGTGCCGGTAGCCGGCCTCTGGGCAAAATGTTTCAGACGGTGGCCACCAAGATAAGATGCGGTGAAGCGATCAATATCTTCAAGTTTAGTCTCCTGGAGGCACACAATCTGGCATGTAGTTGCTGCAATTGTTTCGTGTACAGTAGTGCGTCGATTTGGACAGTTTAGTCCCCTCACGTTCCAACACAGAAAGTTGATGGATTGTTCTAACATAATTGAACAGTCTTACGCCCTTGATCACAGCGGCATAATGCCAACAAGGAAAACAAATGGCTGAAAGAACAACCATCGCCACTAGACAATAACTTGCGAACCCAAACTGGGTGCACTAATCTCCTCATGCAGGAGCCCCTGGGGTACATAAGTTGTGCTAACATAGCTACTAATTCAACACCAGCATACTAAGCCACCTGGCATTAAGTAGCAGTAGCTGCCACCTCTTCTTCATGATCAAGACCATTGGCACCTCCCTGTGCAATTATGGCATCTTCGACGGCCATGGCCTGGGCATCGTCGAGCTTGAAGAGGGCACGCAGTGCAGCCAACACCGTGCCAGGGATTTCTTCCTTGAACTGCTCCTCAAGCTCAGCCAGAGCCGCCGCCGTTATATCTTGCCCATCTTTGACGATTCCTAAGCTGCGACACACCATCTTCTGTGCTTCCTTCTGAACTGGAACGATTCGCGCGCGCCCACTTGCTCGTAGCCTAGCACTCGAGCGCCGTAGCGAGAAAGCAGCCCCTTCCTGGTCAATGGACATCCCAGCCATGGTCTTTCTACGTCGTCCTGGTTGTTTCCCTTGCAGTGTTGGAGGGGAGCCCAAGATGGCCTCCTGACGCGGCTGAAACAGGGTGTCAAACCCAGCTGGCAGTTCCTGCTCTTCATGAACCATCACCTGACTTGTAGGGGTGACATGCAGAGTAGGTGCTGGACCAGGAGTCTGGGGCGGCGTAGCGAAGACAGCGACCGTCTCGGTAGTAGGGGAACAAACATCATCAGTCGCCGTACTGCAAGGTGTGCGGCAAGCATCGGTAATGAAGGGCGGCGTCTGTGGGGCAGAGCTCGTCACCGGAGAAGCTTCAAATCCTGGGGGCCGTGATGCAGATGAAGACTGCAGATGAAGACGGCGAGGGGAGCATAGTCCTGGACGGAGATTGACGATCGACGGTGGCATCCACAAATTGGCGGATGACCCTGATATCCACGACGTTGGCGCCGATCGCGGACGCAAGGGCCTCTGCCACGGCCTTGCAAGAGGCATCTGACTGCGCCCCGGCAAGCGAAACTGTCGCTGCATGACCAGAGCTGGGTGGTGTTTGGTGCAGCATATCCGTAGCAGCAAGACCTTCCCTCCGCAGGGCAGCACCTCCGAGATGAGGCCATGCTGACGAGGTGGGCATTTCAGCTTGCGGAGGAGCAGGCCAACCACGAGTCGGTGGCCGGGGAGCCACGGGGGGAGCTGTAGCAGGCCGCCGCAGGATCTTCAGGGAGCTGAGCGGGCGCCACGCGTTGGTACATCCGCGAGCACGGTGGCCGGGCTGGAGGCAGCGAGAGCACCTGAAGGGATCCCGGCAAACCAAAGCACGGTGACCCGGGGCGAGGCAGCGGCAGCATCTCCCGTGCAGCCAGGCCGGGAGGGGGCGCCGAGCAGAGGCCGGTGCAGGAGGAGGCGGGAGGCGCGGGCCACGCCGGGAGCACACGAGCTGCCTTCCCTCGCCAGACGCATCTGCGTCACGCCCCGCATCCGCTGGAGAGCCGCTGCAGGAAGAGGACGAGGCGCCGAGGACTTGAGGCGACGGGACGACGATGATGGATGCGACCCGCGGCTGGACGCCCTGGAGCTCCGGCGGCGTCTCCGGCACCATCTCCACCGGCGCATCGCGCAGGGACCGGTCATGGGACGGCGGCGACCGGATCGGCGACCTGGATCTGGCATCAACATGCACCGGCAACGATGACGCACCTGCAGGGACCACCTGCGGGATGAAGTCCAGCAGCAAGCGAGCCGGAGGGGGCGGCAGCAGGCAAGGACCCGGGGTGATGGTGGCCGGCGTGGCCACGGTGGCCGGCGCCGGGAGGGGATCGTGGAGGGGCTGGGCTGGGGATGGGTCGTGAGACATGTTGCCGCTACTCCTGAAGCTTTTAATGTGCTGTTATTTATGATGACATCAGAAATTCACATTTCTTCTCCTGTTTATGCTGCTGTTGCCTCAGAATGTTAAAGCATACCTACGACGAGGTACCGCAAAAGAAAGTGTTTTGAGTTACCAAGAAGCTCTGCAAGGTGTGGAAATTTTCTAGCATGCAATTATTTCATACTAATATATCTGATTGAAACAGTGGGATCTTTCATGATACTCTTGCTGGTCGCTAATAGCTCAGCACCCAGCAGCTGGTAAAGGGTTGAAGCCAGCTTAACTGGCAATTGTAGCCATCTAGGCTTAACATTGAGTTGACTGATTTCACTTTCTTTTTGAGGAAATAGCCAGGAGTAGAGTGATTTTGTTTTATATGTTCTGGTAAAACTAGTTGGCAGCAATAGCATAGCTTATGTTTCTGTAATAGTGATATTCATTTTTCTTATTGGTCTTGCGTGTACAGATTTCAGGCATGCTTTAGCTTTGGAGCCGCAGAACAGAACAGCCCTTGCAGCAGAGAAAAGGCTACAGAAACACCTCAGGTGATTCGGGTGGCGGAGCTGGAACCTGCAACTTGTCAAATTTTGGGATCAAACTAGTTTGTCTGTAAAGGAAAGAGCCCTTCTGCTCCGTGAGAATAATTGGTCGCAAGGCACTGAACACTTGGCTTCTGTAGTGTCGTTGTTTGCGTTTCATAAATTGAAAATTTTGGCATGAATTCGTGAAGATATTGGCATCTTCTGGGTGCAGCAGAAACAACTGGCGCGCTGAGATACTGTTAGGCCAGTTGCTGTGGCAAGAGACATTCCAAGTGTTCGGTTGAGGCTGTAAAACCAATACGGCAACGTGTGATAACGGTTTCTCGACGCCTTGCATGAATTACAGTATGTACCAAAAAATTCTAAAACGACTGGCAATTCAACTCATGCCACTCTGCCCCCGTAGAAACGTGTCCACAAGCGAAGGATAAGTCACTGAACACCAGACAGTTATCCACGGTTCGGCGGGAAAAAACAGCCAGAAAGCACACGGAAAACGTAGAGTCGCGAACGACTTTACCACGATCTACCCCGTGGAGAGGCAAGGGACAAACGATCGGCCGCCGGTTCACGCCAGTTGGTCGAAGCAAACTGCACCGATGAGTCGCCCGACGGCGACCTCCAGTTTGTCCCCTCCCTCCTCTGCGCGTCCGTCTGTGTGAGCACGCTCGACCTGGGTGTGTGCAGTGGCTTGGATAAGCAAGCCAACGCCTTCGTTTCTTGCACCCCATAGATCGCTTGGCCTGGAGTAGCTGTTTCCCTGGGTGATCGGTCGAATGGAGACGCAGCAGCAGCAGCGCCGGCACCAGCTCCGGACGCCCATGGACCCGCTCGTCTCCCTCGCCGCGAGCCTCCTCTCGGCCTTCTCCCCGTCGCCGTCGTCGACCACCGAGCGGGGCGCCACCACCTCCACGATACTCCTCCTGCCGCTCCCGGTGGCCGCAGCGCGCGCGCTGTCCGTGCTCCGCAGGCTCGCGCTGCTCGCCACGCAGGCCTTCATCTCCCTCTTCTTCGCGTTCCTCTCCGCGCTCTCGCCCCCGCCCCCGCCGCCGCCCCCCTCGCTCGCGCCCTCGCTGCCGCCGCCGCTGCGCGGGGACCGCGCGGGCGCGGGGGGCACCGCCGCGGCGCCGTCCACCTGCGTGGAGCGCGCGCTGGGGCACGTGCTCTGGGTGGCGTCCCGGCTCCCCGTGGCCTCCCGCAAGTACGAGCTCGTGCGCGGGCTCGCCGAGCGGCTGCTCGACGAGAACAACGTGGGCGCGCGGGTCGCCGCCGTGACCCGCGCCGCGCTGGCCGGGGCGTTCGAGCGCACGCTGCGGCAGCTGGAGGCGTCGGCGGGCGGCGAGTGGGGGCCGCCCGGGATGGAGCTGGCCGTGCGCGCGGTCAGGTCGGGGGTGCGGTGGTGGAGGCCCACCGTGGCCGCGCTGGAAGGCAACGACGCGTTCGGCGGCCCCGCGGCCGAGAAGCTCGCCGCCGAGCTGCTGTGGCTCGGGCAGAAGATGGCCGAGTGCGGCGCCGCACGCGAGGCCACCGTGCAGTTCGGCGCCGCGTCGCGCCTCGGCAGCCGCGCGCTCGTCGCCGAGCCCACGCTCCAGGTCGCGCTGCTCCGGCTGGCTGGTACGTACTACGACGTGCAATCCATTTCCTTCCCTCCTTAAGAAACTTTTAAGAAGAAGACGCACGCGGACGCCCTTGCCTGTCGGTGCAGTGTTCCTGTTCAGGCACGCCAACTCGGCGGAGTTCGAGCAGGAGGAGGGCAAGGCGGCCGTGGCGGAGCAGCGGATGGCGATGCTGCGGTCGTGGCTGCCGCTGCTCTGCCGCGGCAGCAACGGGACGGACGCGCCGGTGCTGAGCGGCAGGGAGAGGGCGGAGATGGTGACGGTGCTGGAGGAGCTGATCGAGAAGCTGCGGTGGGAGCAGCAGGAGGAGGCCCTGGCGCTGTGGCTGCACCACTTCGCCGCCTGCCCGGACACCGACTGGCCCAACCTTGAGCGCTGCTACACGCGATGGTACGCCGAGTCGCGCAAGCTCCTCGCTTGACCAGCAGCGGCACGTACGTGGAGCATTTTTGGCTGATGCTCAAGTGTGTGTGCACTCGATCGAGCAACTTGCTGGTAATAGTGTATGTAAGTTCAGTACTACAACAGAGTGGGAAGTTCACATGTTATGCTATTGTAATCTGCATTTATTTATTTTTTGGCTCTGGAGTCAGGACTCTGTTCATGCAGGCGTGTGCAAATTTATAACCCTACTATCTTCAGAGAACCCAACAGATTTCCCCCCTTCCCTGAGCAGTACAAGTCCATAGAAATGCTGCATGGATACAAAGGAAAAGAAGGCGGCCTTTTGCTCATTTGCTGAATCATCAGGGTCAGAAAAAACCCAAACTCCTAGTTCTAACATCCGCAACGTTGGGAACATAGGCAATACATATACAGTTCTAACACGTCAAACTCTTTCCTCAAGAATATGAATTTGGGCAACAGCTACTACCTCCGTCTCGGTGAAAGTTCTAGGTTGACGATTTAAGTATCTAAAAATATATTATATGTGACAAAATATATATATTGAGAAACTACATCCTTATAGAAATCTAGTGATATACTTTTCATGACATATAACACATATTTAATTCCTCAAATCGATGACATAGAACTACGCGAATGACTTATTCACCTAGACGGAGGGAGTATTCAGGACAAGTTTATAATGGCAACAATACTTGAGTACGTAGGAGCTTTTTCTGATGATTATGTTACAATAGCTAGCAAAGCCGGTTACAACAGATTCTGGGGGTTCATATCCTGATCACTCTACTGTACATTTTATATCAGAGAACAAAAAGGTTTACACTTCACCTTAGTTCTTCATGGAGTTCGTCCTTCCAAAGGTGCTTGGTTCTCTGATGGATACAGATGCCAATGATTTGGATGTCCCGGCAGTGGCATTCCTCGCCCCTTCCTGCAAATTCTCTCCCTTTGAAGGGTATAACGTATTGAATTTCTGTGGCGGAGCTTCGGCATGGCCATTCTGCCTACTGCCCCAGCCCATGAAGTTTTTTCCAATGAGCAAGAAGGGAAGGGTAAAGAAACTGAGGATGAAATTGAAGAAACCTTACAAGGCACAAAGAAATTGTCTGTTCAAGCTCAAAAGGATGATGGGTCATCTATAAGAGAAAATCCACTCAAAATGTCAATATTTAACAAATAAAGAATCTCCCAATTATGAAGAGGGCTAAAAGAAGCAAATCTAGTGAATCGAATGAAGATATCCAGGAGAACATTCCAGGGGTTTTGCTGATGTCATTGCTATTGGCTACAAAGACATCTCTGCATAGCTATGCAAGGGAGCAAGACTAAGTTGTTCTTATTCTAGAAGAAGCAACTCAACCCATCCAAGATTCAATGAGAGAATCTAACAAGATTTCTAGAAATAGTTTTGTTGCAACGGAATCCTAAAGTTGTGAAAATGAGATGAATAGATTGGGAGTATATTGACTCCAAGGAAGTATTTGATACCATTCCCGAGAATTGCAAAGTGTCTGACTTGATGGCTCTCCAACAAGATTTGAATGCAGAGCTAATTCTATAATTATTTACCACAATGCAGTTTGAAGATGTGTCAAAAAATCCTTCTAATAGATGTCAAATGGCAAGGTGTTCAAGTCAAGTATATGTGAGTTTGCTAAGGTGCAAAAAAAAAATCGCAAAAAAAAATCAGAACTTTGAGACTGTACATTAGAAGGAAAAGTCCAATAAGGAGAAGATGGCACACTTATATGACGTGAGCTTGTGTTCAAACATAAATGAAAATCTTGGAATGACAACTGGACTCCATGAAGGGATATTTATAGTTAACTACCTCTTGAGAGTCATTTTTAACCCCAAGGTTGGAGATAGCACCAAGATCCAAGGTTTTTCCAAGCAACTTCTTATTCTTGGCATGGATCTTCCTGTGGCTTTGAGCAACCTCTGTGGTGCATGGGCTTGGTCGGTGGGTTTCTGTGCGAATTTGGATTCACTCGCTCGGACAAAAGTGATGACGATGATGCAAATATGCTACATCGACGAGGTTTTCATGAAGTGATGTGAGTGATATATCTTCTGTGTGCTTGATCAATGAGTTGTGATAGTTTCACCTATTTTTTCATTAATTAACTAGGTAAGTCTCGTCTTAATTAATGGATTCAGCCCAAAGTGTTCTAGTTTCGAAAAACATCATCTATATTTTGAAAGAATAAAGGTTGTTGCATATGACAATGGGAACAATGTTGCATTTGCTCCATTCATTCAAAATTTTAATCAATCATGTAGTGAAAGGTCAAGATTTTGTCATGAACAGTGAGCATAGTGTCTATAATCCAAAGAAAGAAATTGACATGTTTGATCCTAAAAAGCTTAGACTCAAAAGAAAAAGATCAAGAAAACTAAGTACGCAAAAGTTGGATAAGGAAATTCCTCGGGTTCTATGTCCATTGAAGAAAGATTTGCAAACATAAGACAAAGGAAATCATGTTATATTCTCTAAAACTGAATACAATATTGACGTGCATCTCACTATAAATTTTATCTACACAAAAAGCTTAGGAAACACAAAGATCAAATAAAATGTGCCATCAACAAGTGGCTGCTCAAGCAAAGAGAACAAACCCTACCTGTCGTGGAAATATCACGTCAGATGTCCTCGTGAAAGGACTTAGTCGTGGAGCCATCGCGACGGGTTAGCTTAAAGGGGTTAAACCGGACAAAGGACACGAGGATTTTTATACTAGTTCGGCCCCTTCGATGAAGGTAAAAGCCTACGTCTAGTTGTGATGGAATTATTGGGGTCTCGATAACCAGGGAGCAAAACACGCTATACCTGGCTCTCGAGTTGTTGTTTCTTGTCCTGAACCGCCGTCGGGTCGTCCCCTTATATACACGGGTTGACGCCCAGCCGGTTTACAGAGTCCCGAGGCCGGCTCATACACGTGTCCGACTCGGTTTCTCCTTTTCTAACTTACAATACAAGTTACATAACCATGGCGGTTTACCACTATGGGCCCTAATCCGCCTTTGGGCTCCGGGCCTCTAAGCTTCATTAGTAAAGCGCCATCTTCTGGGTCTTCGTGGGCTTCAATATAGTTGAAGGTGAACCGGCCCCTCCTGGGCGGTTTACACTCAGTAGTTATATCCCCAATATTAGGCCCCAGATTGATTTGAACCTATTCATGTCAATCTTCAATACTTAGAGAAATTCTGTGAACATCTTCTTACATTTCTCGTAAACCGCCATGACGTCTTCTCCTGTAAACTTTGTTAAACCGCCGTGACATCATCCTCTGGACATAGCAGTGGGTTGTCATGATGTCATCTCTGTATAAAAGATTAAAAAGATTCCTTCCATTAATGGTATCCCGAAGATCGAGGCGACAACTACGCCCTTTTTTGCCGCTTCAGGCTCCTCGATTCTCGCGCCTGCCACTTATCCCCTTTCTTTATAAATAAAGCCGGGGGTCTTTCCATTCTCCCCCCTTGCCTCTTCGCCTCGTCTTCCTCCTCGCGACCCAACGAGCTCCAGCACCGCCGCCGCCATCGTCGACCTTCGACTCTGCACCGACTAGGCCGCTGCATCAACCTGAAACGCTCCAGTGCACTCTACTCCGCTGCTCCTGAGAACCCGGTGAGTTTTCTTCCTTAACCCTAGATCTCCATTAGGGCGTCGTGTTCATCTGTGTTCATCTGTGTTTGTCAGTGCTTCTCTGCCTTTCTCTTAGCCTCTTTACTGAAATTAGCTAAGCCTTATAGTTTTCTTTTGCGGCTAGATCCATAGTTTTAATCTGCCATACTGTAGCATCTTGCTGTTTCTGAAAAAAAATCCTCTCTAGACTTTCTCTGTTATGCTTAACGCCATTGTAGGTCGCAGAAAATTTTCATTACTGAAGCACGGTAGATCCAAAATTATATCATCATTGTGTGAAACTTTTTTCTGCAACACGTAGTGAATTTCATCTCTGTTGCCTCCCTCATAGGCGGTTTAACTTGTAGAAAATCACAAACCGCCTGGTACCATTAGCCCTCACTTTTAAACCGCCATCCTGACTCGAGTAGTAATAGCCGGTTTAACATGTTTATACCTTGATTAAATTCCCCGGTTTAACACTGGTTTGTGCACATCAACCTTGAGTCGTAAACCGGCCTTCATACTTTTTGCAGTTTTCCAAAATGACCAAGCAATTCTCCGCTTGCAACTGGGTTCCTTCCCGGATCACAGAAACACAGCTCAATGGATATGTTTTGACTGGCGCTTTGGCCAAGAAAGATGTCCTCCACTGGCGAGTTCCTGGCCCTGAGTGCCCTCCAGAGCCTCAAGATGGAGAAGTAATTGTATTCCTGCAGCATCTAGACCGGGGTTTTAGCCCCCCCCCCCCCGGTTCAAAGTTTTTCCGGGATGTGCTTGCTAGTTTCCAACTCCATTCTCAAGACATTGGACCAAATTCTGTGTCCAATATATGCAACTTTCAAGTGTTCTGCGAAGTTTACCTTCAAGAAGAACCAACTGTGGAGCTCTTTCGAGACTTTTTCCACTTAAACCGCTGCACCAAATTTTCTGACAGCCCCAACACGTAACTTGGCGGCGTGTCAATTCAGAAGAGGAAGGAAGTTGATTTCCCTCATGCCAAACACCACAGCCATCCAAAGGACTGGAATCAAACATGGTTCTACTGTCAGAACACCGCGCCTGCTGATGAGAACCCTCTGCCGGGTTACCGTGCTCATTGGCTCAGCAATGGCCACCTACTGCCAGCACAGCTCACAACCAAAGAACGACAAGCATATGCACCTCAGCTTGCTAAGCTCTGGGCCCTTCTGGCAAATGGCTTAACCGGCATTGACCTTGTTCGATGCTGGGTTTCATGGGGTATCCTTCCCTTAAGCCGCCGCTCCGGTTTGATGTATGAGTATACCGGAGACGTAAAAGACCCTCAACGGTCTCATGAGATAGAAAAAACTGATGACGAAGTCACTGAAGCCGTGAAGAAGATGTTGGATGAACCGATC